CACAACTATGACTTTACGTCTAACTCATAGTTACTGCTGTTTTTACATTCTGTGCTGTAGGAAACTGCAGTTTATGTATTGTGATTTTATTTACAAATATACTATCAAAAGAGAGTAATAAGCTTTCAACCTTTTCTATTTTTTTCCTAAATGATTTGGCAGATATACATATTAAAACCAAATTTTAAAGTTGCTTTATAATGTGTACATCTAAGCTTCCTTGGGGTTCAGATAAATTGATTGATCAATATATCAATAAACAGAGTACAGAGCAAACTTTTTTAAAAAAATTAAACTGCACTAATGAACAGTCTTCATACAGTTAAACAGCTCCTTGCACACATAATAAAATGTTTCAGCTTCTTGTATTATGTGGCTTTTCAGTTAGTAATAAAAAGGAACCTATTGATCATTTTAAAAAATGAGAAAAGGGAAGATATTTACAAGATTTAAAAGAATGTTAACCTCTTTCAAATGCCTATTTAAATCAAAGAAATTAGTTTTTCTCTTCCCGAGTGAACGCCTTCTATGTCTCAGCATTAAACTATCTAAAGCATCAGAAGTCTCCATTGTACTTGGTAATAACTCTTAATTCTCATCACCAGGAGAAAGAGAACAAGATGCTAAGGTCATCCAGCAACAAAGGTAATAAATCTCATAAAATTGGAACATGTCTGTACCAGTTTACTGAATAAGCCAACAAAACAGTTTATTATAGAACCCCATTTGGGGTTGAATTATGAGCACACAATTGATGACTATAAATGAAATATATTGCATGCAATTTATAAAAGGAAATTGAGAGTCAAGTCATGGTAACTTTTTACTACATAAAAAATACCCGTGTAATATAAAAAGCAAAAAGTTGATAAGGAATATAATGGTGATATTAATACAATTGTAGTTATTTCATGTATATTTCTTTAGAAAGTGAGAATAATTTATATTTTACATGAAATTCAATATGTTTCCATATTGGAATCTAAATTGATTCCAAATATACAATATTTTTGAGCTTAGCAGGTACACAAGATTCCAAAGAACCTTAAGTATTCACATTAGTCTTGCTCAAGACATCCAGAACATATTTCTAATGAATAAAATATTGATGCATATTTAATGAAGATAGTAGGTTTTTATGTTCATTATTGTCACTTCCTGGAATGGAACTATTTAGCTTATCGTTTTAGTTCATTCTTGCATTCTGTCCTCTTGATAATGGAACCTGATGTAGAACAATCTGGGAACTGCATTCTGAATTATAATTAGTCCGTTGTTTAATAGAACTAATATTCCATCTAATTTTGATTACAACTTATAGTTTCTTCCCTATAAGGGAAGAACCTATAAGTTGTATCCAGAAAAACTCTGATCTATAGAATCATAACTGATCAGAAAACTTTTGGTGGTATTGTTTACAGCTCTGTACCATTTTCTTTAGAGCAGAATTTGGCTGGCCTCAGTTAAACAAATTCCTTAGCCTATACTTTTTGGTTGTAAGTACAGAAATTGTGTGCTGGACACAAAAGAATAAACAAAAACATTACCTTTCTGGTGTTCCGGTGCCCTCAATCTGAACCACTAGTCTGATGAAGCAAAATGTTAGATTTTTAGAATGTGCAGCATTCAGTCCAACTCAACTGATTCAAATGTCTGAGATGAAGTGAACATAAACTGTGAGGCTGTGAATAGTCCTAGTATTTCCTCCCTACATCAGTTAAACAGGGAGGATATCATTTACCTGCTGAAAGTGATTTGTGGGGAAATCAAGGAAAAGAACTGGCATCCAGCATCCTCTATCATCCAAAGCCATCATAGATACAACTATTCTGGACAACTTTAGATTAGTTTCCAGCCTTCCATTTTTAGGAAATGTTGTAAGAGAAAATGGCTGTATTACAAATTCAGAGGACCCTTGAAGAGGCAGATAATTATCTGAACTCTTGGCAATTGGGTCTCAGGACAGATTCATCCTGGAAACAGGATTGCTTGCATTTATTTATGACCTCTGAAGAGAACAGAATTAGGAGAGTGCAGTTGTTAACCTCTCAATAGCTTTCAATCTCATTTACTATGTTATTCTGCTGAAACTGGTGGGGATTCCAGTAGAACTGGATGGGGGATGAGAGGTGCCTGGAAATTTCTACTTTGTGGAGTATCTCAGTGTTCCCAACTTTCCCCACTTTTCTTTAATGTCTACATGAAAATACTGGAAGTGCTCATCTGCCAGCACTATATCAATTATCCTAGGACACCCAGTTATATACATTTCCTGTGCTCTAAACAGGGATATAGTAGAAGTGCTGACCAAGTGTCTGATGCTGTTAGGGTCTGGTTATGAAGGAACAGAGTTAGACAAATTCTCAGATGGAGAGTTTATGGGCCAAATGATTCCAGGATGCCATTACCATTATCAGGATACCCTGAAACAGATTTACTACCCTATTGCCTTAAAGGTCATGCTCAGTTGATTCTACAAAACTACAAAAACAGTTGGTTGTGACCTTTAAGGCAGTATAACAGTTCCAGACTTGGTTATCTGTGAAACTCCCTTATTCTGTATTTATCAGCCTGTCCATTCAGATCAAAGAGGATCATTACCATCCAGGTCTTGTTAATCTGAAAATGTTATCTGATAGGACCTCAGAGCACTGACCCCATGCTTTGGAATGTATCATGGAGATCTGGCACACCAGTTGTTTCCTGGATTTCAGGAAAGCAGTTCATCTAACTACTCTATTTAAATCAATAGGAAGGCATATTGTGATTTTTGTGAACTGACAGATATGTAAACTTTTTTTCCATTTTTAGGTGAGTATATTTATTATTACTGGGTTTTGTTGCTTTTATGATGCTATTTATTAGCTGCTCAGAGCCTTCAATAATATCATTCAACATCATCACCATCATCACTATCACCATCATATTCTATATTTGAACTATTCTGCCATTTGCCATCTAATGTCCCTTTCAACAACAGTCCAGGCAGCCTTGCCTTGAGAATAGGCACCTGGCTCCTTATTGAAACATTAGTTGCCTTGTCTGCCAAAATAAAATGACACTTAGATAATCACATCCCTTAGGCAGAAAGATATTTGGTGTCCTTCCTTCTCCTGGTCTAAACATCACAATGATTGGAAATAGCATAAGATTGCAAAAGTAAGCTGGAAGTATTCCCAGGTCATGCTGTCTTGGGACCTAACACATGGCCTCCTTAACTGAAGTGTGGATTGGAAGTTATGCTTCTGTGACAGGTGCTTAAATACAGGGGTAATAGCTCACCTGCTACCCTTCACTCTCATAAAATGGTGGAGACTTGGCTCCCAGCTTGAAGTTTTAACATACCACTGGTCTAACACTTGGTCCTTTCTTGCTCTTACTTAGTGTTTTCATTCAGAAGATTATGCTGTTTATTATTCAAGATACATAAAACAAAAACAAACAGCACTACTTTCATAGTCAGGAAGGATATACCAAAGACAGTATGTTGGTACAATGGAGTTAATGATCACACATTGAAAAACAAGGAAAGACTTTTGAAAGATCACTAAAGTCGGAAAGAAATTTCAAACTCAAATTGATATGCAAAAGGATGCCGGTAGACAGACAGTAACTAATTTAAAGATGGAAATATATTGAAATTATGTAGAGGTATCAAAATCCAAGATAACTTAGATGATACTCTACATTTACAAAAAAAAAGTCAGTTGACATTAGACAGAACTCCAGTCATTACCACATTGGAAGTCTACAGAAAAATGTCTCTTCAGAAATATACCAAGGAACAGAGAAATAATCTGGAAAGATTCTAACTAAACTATGCAGGCAAATCCCAAGAATCATACAGTGGCCAGCAAATCTATAGTTCAAGGTCAGTCTACATTTTAACACCAAATATGGGAGTGTTTACAGAATGTGTAAACTATCATATAATATTCTTAAATTCACGTTAGCAAAATAATGCTTAGGATCATTAGAACATTACAGAGAAAGGGAAATGCCAGATGCCAGGCTGAGGAATAAAATATGTTGATGGTCACTGGATAATTGAAAAATCAAAGAATACCCACAGGAAGTTAATGATTATAGAAATACAATCTTTGACCATAGAAGTGTCTTAGTTTGGGTCAATACTATCAAACTGTTATATGTACTTTGGAAATTGGGAATTCCAGAACATTTTCCCAGAGATAAGGATTGTACCCTCTCTCCTAGGGTTCTGGAAAGCTCTTAAAACCTGGCTCTGGTCCCAGGCCCAGTGCTGATGTATTAATCATCGTATTTCTGGGTCCCTTGTTTTATTTTTAACATTTTAATTAAAGTTTTACAAAATACATAAAGCTAAAATTAACAAATTAAGCAGTAAAGAAAGAAAAGCAAAAGTGCAGAAAAATAAAAAACAATAAAAAACAAAGCTTCCCTTTTCCTTTGCAGCAAGGACATTTACAACCTTCTCTTTACTCTGTGATTAGTAAAAAAAAACTTAACTTTTTTCCATTATCCAATTTTCCTTCTCATCAAAATCACAAATTATGAGTGCTTTTTTTCTTTTCATGCCCAAAAAATCTATAAGATTTTTTTTAATTTGTGTTGTTGATAAGATTGTTTTAGTTTGGGCTGTCTGTTGTTTTAATGGATTTTGGTATGCTGCTCAGAGTCTATTGGAGTTAGAGCTAAATTAAATTTGAATAAATATATAATAAATAAATATCTCATTGTCCTCATGCAAAGCCTATACATAGGTCAAGAAGCCACAGTACGGATAGAACATGATGAAACAAACTGGCTTCATTCATTCTTTCATAAAACTAACTTATATGTTGAATATATGTTAAAGGAGAACAGATAAAAAAAAAAGATGGCTGTGGCATAAACTTGCAAATCATCCTGTACTGTACTAATGATACTTTCAGCTAAGTGAAAAAACAAATGATCTGTTTACACTAGTAATGGAAGTTAGTAATGGAAGCAGCAAGATCACATATGCAGAAGACCATACTAATGACAACTTCTATAATAACTAGCCTTAAAATGCCAATGAATTCATCAAAGCATATTCATATATGCTGCCTTTTAGAATTAACAAGCAGTCACAAAATATGCCGCAGACTAGCATTTGATAGGGTAGCAATGAAAGAAAGCCTTGGAAAAGATATTACAAAGTGTTATAATACGTCTGTACCCAGAACTGGAACTGTTAGTAAGCGTGATGCACAGTGGTGCAAGTTTGGGAACCATTAGGGTTGTCATGAAAAATTACTGAGGCAATAAGGATGATGTGAATTGAGAGAATTTGGGAACCTCTCACCTAAAGCATTTGTTGAATATTTTAACCAATTATAGCAATAGATACTGTTTTAATGTTGGATTTATTTGCAATGGATTCTTTAATATAAGTATACTTTAAGTTCTTAAGAGTTGCACAAGCAGGCAGTATATAAGTATTTGTAACAGTATATAAGTATTTGTAAACAAATAAGATTAATAATAAACAAGTAAGATTTAACAATAAAGGTAAAATCAGTAACAATAGAACTTGCTCCAAGACCAAAGAAACAAAATGAATGAAAGATTAGAAAATATAGGGCCACATGTAGCATGTTAACCATAAAGGCACAGTAATATTCATAATAGATTTGCTAGCTATAGCTTTTGCTCTACAAAATATTGGACAGGAAGGAATGACATCTATAAATAAGTACATAAAAATAATTACAACTTTTTAATTTTGTTAGCCGCTCCACCATCATGTGTCAAACTGATTTAGATATTCAGTCTAAATATTTATTTTACAATAGTAGAGCCTTCAGTTAATATTGTATTGTTTAATGGATTTCTGAATTGAACTTGGCCAGAAGTTGAATGCTGAAAGAATGCTTTTTTAAAAAAAAGTAGTATGATAGGAAATACTCAAATAAAGCTCATCAATCCTAGAACACAAAGTTAACCAACTGAAAGAGAATCTGGCATATAATAAAGCAATATTCTGAGACATAGATTTAACTGCATTTGAACAAAAGTATTCTCCCAAAACTCCAGTAAAATTACTAAAATATAAATAAAATGAGGGATAGATATATTTTTCTGTGTCAATTTATTAACGAACAATGCTATTTTCTAGGCTTGGGGGGAGATACAAATACATTGAAATTAATTAGATCTTAAAAATATAGTTTATTAAATTGCTGTGTTTGAGGTTAAACATTTCAACCATCTCCTGCAAACCCAGAAAAAACGGTTTTGCAGATGGTTTCTTCAAAGCCCAAAGCATTTGGCTAATTCTCCGAATAGCCTGTAGTTAAAGCCAATTTAATGCTCTGAACTTTGTTCATCTTTTCTTTTAGCTTTCCTAAGCTTCAGTTCTCTAACTGAGGAATAGATAAGAGTGGGGGATGATAGAGTAGAAAGATTTGCATTTTTTGCCCCTTTCGCTTTGTCCAAGAAGCTGTTTTTTAACTGGGGGAGGGCTGGGAGGCTACACAACGCAGTCGGAAATATTTTCCCAAGCAACGCAAGCAGCAGATTGCAAGCCCAGCACAAAGACAAATATAGGCGCTCTCCTTCTCTGTAGCCGAGAAGAGGGGAGGGGAGAAGGTGGAGTTTTTAAGGGTCGCTTTTCTTCTTGTTTTCCGCCCTGTCCTTTCCTCCCAGCCAGTAACGAGCGTCTTCGCCTTTGAAGTCCAGCGCCGCAAAGCACGGCTACCCGCGAGCAATAAATAAAAGTTAAGGGCCACACAGAGGGCGACCAGGCAGCGTCTTTGATTGGGGCCGCTTCCCCGCTCTTCCTCCCTCAGAGTCCGCCGCTGCCTCCCCTTGGAGAGATGGCGTGCATGGACAGATGTCGGTGCTGCACGGACTCCCGGGGGCAGAGCAGCATTCTCTACAACATTCTGAAGAGCGAGGAACAGCAGCAGCAGCAGCACGAGGCGACCAGCCGGCAGCAGCCCGCGCCTCAGCCGGGCCAGGGGCCCTACGCGCCGGCGCCCGGCTGCTCGTGCGGCACGCAGAGGCGCGTGGCCCTCAAGAACCCGCAGGTCGCGTGCAAGGCGGCTTCGGCCGTGTTGGTGAAGACGCTGCGCTTCGTCAAGAACGTGCCCTGCTTTCAGGAGCTGCCTCTGGACGAGCAGCTGGTGCTGGTGCGCAGCTGCTGGGCTCCGCTGCTCGTGCTGGGGCTGGCCCAGGATCGAGTGCACTTCGAGACGGTGGAGACCACGGAGCCCAGCATGCTCCACAGGATACTGACCAACAAGCGCTGCGATGAAGAGCAGCGGCGGCGGCGGCAGCTCCAGTTGCTCCGCGAGACGCAGGGGGAGTCGGAGCAGAGCTGTGGCAATGGGAACGGAAGTGGCGGCGGCAACGCCAAGCTACCGTCGGCGGCAGAAATCCAAAGCATCAAAAGTTTTCTGGCCAAATGTTGGAGTTTGGACATAAGCACCAAGGAGTATGCCTACCTCAAGGGGACGGTTCTCTTCAATCCGGGTAAGCCAACCGTTTTTGGAAGTTCCTGGGCACCACTCGGGATAGGCCTAGAAGTTAGGGGACCCCTATATGTGTGGACCTTCAACTCCCATCGGGGACGCTAACTCATCTGGAAGATATCTGGTAACGAAAAGGGCCTGTCCTTCTGATAGTATTCCTCTGTTGCTTGGGAGAAAGTTCGACTGGTCTGGTTTTGCCCATACTTGCAAAAGCATCTTTAAAAAAACATTCAATAACTGGATTTAAAGATTTAAATTGGACTAGCAGGTGTCGGAATATAGCAATTGAGGGTTAGATTGCTGGCGTCCATATTCTGTATTTTTAAAATGTTACTAAGCTAAATGCCTAATAATAATAATAATAAGTAGTAGTAGTAGTAGTCATTCTGCTTCTTGAATTCAGAGCAGGTGATTGAGAGCTCATAGTGAGAATTAGACTTTTGTGAATTGAAATGTTAGAAAAACAGTCTTCTGGTAATACTTGGTGTGGAAACAAATATCAGCTCACAAGGGTTGCATGCAGACAACAGGAAGTAAAACTACTTGGTTTACATCATTTTGAAACTATATATAGTATATTGCTAACTATAAACGTGGTAGGTTTGGGTTTTGAAAAAAAAAATCCTATGTGCAATTTGTTTTGTATCTATATCAGGGAAAACAAAAATGACGAATTTAGCTCAAAATCATGTTATAAAACTAGTGGTAGCTTTGCTTCAGCATATCTCATTTAAGGATTTAATAAAAAAATAAAGGTTTTGATTAATTTATTAATAACATTTTTTAAATATGTGGTGTGGAAGGATATGATTGAACTTTATTAAATTACATAGTGTGGAATGAAATACTGAGTATGTTAAGCATAAAAACATTAGGGACTGAATAATTTAATCTGAAAAAAATATTTGCAATAATCTTAAAACATCCAAGCTTGTTGAGATGCCAGTCATTTATTATTAAAACAGTGTAAATAATGCTGCTCTTAAAGAACAGTGAGGAGAGAAAAACAACTCATATCAAGTTTCTGTGTTATTTATCCGGTATGAGTTTAAACTAGTATTTTAGCATTTTCTAAGTATTTCAATAGAATCTACAGTGCTGTCTTCTGTTCTAAAATAGAACTATTCTAAACTATTTTAAAATGGTATAAATGTAATATATACTTGCAGCAAGTGCTAGGTGTCAAAATTGAGGGATCCTATCATGCAAAACTGCTAAGTATTGAGGCGAGCGAGGTGCAGATGTAAACACCTTGGTTTAATTTGGAGCTTCCTTTTTGCTGCAGAAATACCTTTACCAGCAGTCCATATTTTTTAACTTGGATTGTATTGGATATATATATGTATGTATGTATACATATTGCAATGACCATTTTCATTCATAAGAATGAACTTTAGTGAAACGCTTTATTAAACATGGATATCAGTACATTTGTGTGAAGAGAGATTTTTGCAGAAATGTTACTTTCATACCAGTTTATTATTTCTTTAGAGGAGAGTAGATTGAAATACCTTCCATGAAACAGTTTTTATATTACTCTGTCGATATGATAACTCTTTGGGACTACTTCTTTCAATATATAACATTAGTCAGAAGTTTGATGTAGTATGCTACTTTATTAATAGCAAAATGATCCAATATAAATTGTTTATATTACAAGTGAAAGAGATAATGTAATCTTTATGTTCTGTTGTTCTCCCCCTCTGTCTCCTTTTAGAGTTGCCAGGGCTGCACTGTGTGCAGTACATCCAAGGACTGCAGCAAGAAGCACAACAAGCCCTAAATGAACACGTCAGACTGATTCACAGAGAAGACCAGGACAGATTTGCCAAACTGAATGTGGCTCTTTCCATGCTTGGATCAATTAATGCCAGTGTTATTGCAGAACTTTTTTTCAGGCCCATCATCGGAACAGTAAATATGGATGATATGTTGTTGGAGATGCTTTGTGCAAAATTATGAAACCATATGTGAATAAGGCATGACACTTCAGCGTGAAAAATCTGACAACAAAATAGTGTAAAGTATTGTAAAATAAACTAACTTATTGTTTTTAAAGTGGCAATATTTTTGTATTCAGCAATGGAATGTTCTTTGAGTCCACTCTGTTTTATTAATTAGAAGTATCTTAAAGCATTTCATCAGCAATCTAAGTTCTCTTGCAAAATAAAATAATTCTACACATACATAGAAAGGAGTTTGCAGGTTTCAGTGACTTCTTTGTAGGACAAGAGTATAGAATTGCAAATTTTTTCTTTGTTTTCAAAGAAGTAAAAGTATTATGTAATTCACAAAATTAAAACCTAGACTGATCTGTGTAGTATGTATACAAAATATAAAATATTCAATCAAATGCTATACAATTTTATATTTTTAAGCACCTGTTTAATCAAGGAAAATGTAATATTTTGTTTTACATCTCATACCTTGTTTGCCCATTTAGATTGAGCAAATTCAAGACAAGCTTTAGAACGTACTTCATTATATCAGAAGATCTCAGTCTAGAGAACAACAGTATAAAAGGGCTAAAGTGAATTTCTAGATAGACAGAGGATGCATGCACATACACATATAAACTTTTGGTTCTACAACATCAGTTCTAAGCGATTGAGTAAGATACATTTGAATTTGAAATAATCACAGTCCTGTAAAATAATCAGAATTGTCAGTAATAGCAAACAATTCACTTTATAAAATCTTGGTTAACATAGAATATGTGGATTCAAAGTTGATTCAGAGGAAATCTGATTATTAGTATTCTTGTAATACGTTATGTTAACCTAAATATTCTATCTCTTTTTAGAGGGATTAGGATGGCAAGCTGATATAAATTTCTAATTTTCTCATAAAAACAGTTTTTTTTCTTTCTCTTTCCAAAAACGTTTCCTTTATTTTTGTAACTTACATCTTTCATATGGCTGACTACTTTTACCTGGAATAATAAAAAAAAAAACTTGGATGTTAAAACCTAAAACCAGTACACATTTTCTTAACTTTCAAATTCCATTTGCTACTTTGCAGAAAGAAATTAATGTTAAGTTACAGTTGGGAATGAATAAATGAATGGGGAATAAAGAATGCTTTAGCAACCTCTGCTGTTCTGCTCAAGTATGATCTATTCTTGTGAAAGTCTGGAGCAGACATGTCAAACTTTTTTGACATTGACGGCAGTGGAATGGGCGCGGCTCCTGTATGATGAAACTGGCCTGCAGGCCGCCAGTTTGACACCCCTGGTCTAGAGACACACTTAAGATTTGGCAATTGTGCATCCTTAATTCTTGGCCTTATTAAAAGTTTAATAAGACATTATCTTTCAAACTTATAATGCTAGATAATATATTCAATGTTGTTAATATTCACATAAAATTATTAACCCCCTAGCATACAGAAACTTTTTTATGTACTCTTAAAATATTTCACAGCAGAAAAAAAACAAAATCTGGGAAAAAATCATGTATAAGTAATTATAGATTGGATTGCATTGCTATAATATAAAATTGTAAATTAAGAAATTGATTTCAAATTAAATGAAGAACATTAAAGCATTTAGAATTTGCATAGTTGGATTCACTCTAAAAATGTTAAATATGAATAGTAAACTGTGCGAATAAAAAATTGGATATGCCCCGTTAAAATTTAAATTATTCCTGTAAGAAGACAAGGTTCCCTCAAAATGAAAACATAATTATTTTTATTCTGCACAATAGTCATTGTGCATTATTATACATAAAAATAACTATAATTCTATGGAATTAGTTCTAACGTTTGCTGATACATTTCTTCATTTTCACTTAAAATAGTAGTTTTAACTACTATTTCATGTATATAATGTATTATACCACTGGTGGAATGTGACATTACATATTGAGTAGAATATACCGGATTTTGTTCTCTAAATTCAGCTTGACTACTGCCTGATAATGGATCCCACTTGTGTACTGTTTGCTGACTTTCATACTCCAATCCCAAATGGTGATGGGCATAGAGAAAGTCCTGGGTTCATGATAATGGATTAGAAATATCTAGTATTTAACATATTCCTGAAAATTAAGATGAGAGGCACAGGACACAAGCTGCAGTTCTATCAACATCAAATGCAAAGATACACAGTGGTAATTTCAATTTATCATTTTTGCTTTTTGAATCCAAAAAAAGTGAATAGGAAGTTATAAGAATATAATTTGCTTTCTGATTGATCACTAATTTTAAAAAATGGTATACAGTGGTACCTTGGTACTCAACTGTTTTGAAACATCAAATTTGGTATTCAATGCATTTTGATGTGAAAATGTCCTGGTACTCATCATTTGGTACTCAATGCGTAAGCTACAACCTGTTGCTGTCGGCTGCCTTGTGACTCACTACATTATTCCTAATGGGAAAAATTATTTGGTACTTTTCGTACTCATTGCACCTCCCAGAACCAATTAAGAATGAGCACTGAGGTAGCACTATACATTAAATTGTTCAACTTTGTTGATTTTTTTTTCTTTTTAAAGGGTAACATCCAGTTGATATTCATGAAGTTTAGTATTATAAACAATAACAACAAATCTACAAGAAATGTCCTTACATTCCATGTACTATGAACAGTAATGAAAATCAATTTAATGATTATTTTAATTATAGACTACAATAACAGCAGACAACAAATAAAAGCAACAAAATATCCAGCAAGCAAATTTAAAAGACATGCCATTTAAACATCCAGTTTTATAAGTACTTAAACTGATTGTAACTATGGTTACAATCAGTACAATTTAATGATAGTCTGGTCCACCTAGAAATAATTTCACTAACTAAAATAATTCCAGGTATGCATACTTAGGTTGCACTTTTCACCCCTAATTTCAAATTATTGGTGAATCTACCATAATAGAAAATTATTTCATATTATCATACAGAGCTGTAAAGTAAAGTTTGAAAAAGATATTCTGCCATATGATAATTATCTTAACATATCAATTTATAATTGAAATTCTTGTTACATGAAACAGCTTCTCTACTAAATGTTTTCCCCTCTCCCATCTGCTTAATTCTTTTTGCATCATCTCCCACATTTTAATTTCTTTTTGCTTTTTTCTTTTCTTGCCTAGTTTATCTCATTTGTTTTCCCCTGAATGATCTAAAACAGCCATGTCAAACTCACGTCGAGTGACATATTACGACTTTCCCCCCATTGCCGGCAATGGGTTTAGGCGCAGTTTCAGTATGATGCATCCGGCCCATGGGCCAGCAGTTTGACATGCCTGATCTAAAATGTAGAATTTAAACTCTGAACATCACATCTTGAAACCACTGCTTTTCTGGTTATTAAGTAGCAAGGATAAGCAAAACAGTGGAGGTATTGCTCTGTTTTTTTTGGTGCTCTGAATAGTAGTATATATTAGAGGAATATAGGCATGTTACCTACTTGATGAAACTTCCATTTCAAAAAACTGAATGGGTCAAGTCTGCCTTCTGGTTACGTTTGAATTGTTTATTGCAACTTATTGCAACTTATTACTTTCTGTCTGTCTCCATCTATTCTGATTTTTATCATTGTCAGTCAGTATGGCCAATGGAATCAGTGAAAAATGGGCCTATTACGATAATTGTTATTTAATGAAAATATTGCTTATGTACACACAAGGGCAGTCAGAAAAAGAAACGAATATAAATTGAAAATGGCAAATCGTATAACCCCTTGATAGGATAATTCATTTATAATTTTATAACATTGTCAAATCAAAAAGGTTGAGGGCAATGAAAGTTTATTGTTGTCACTATAGACCTGTTACTGCAATATGGAGAAAAAAAAGAATAGAAGAATTATGCATTTCAAACTAAAATTAGGAGCTATCACAGTACAACAAGGGTATTAGAGAACCAATGCTGCTGACGCTGAGCATGTGTTTCTATTCTGAACCAATTTTTAATGTAAATAGTCTGAAAAACTCACTGTAGGATTATCTTAGCTAAAAATAATAAAGCAACTATATTAGCTACAATTTTTATTAGAAAGTAGCTGCTCTTTGTTTTGTGCCAATAATGTTTTTCAGAGCTGGAGTTGCTCCATCCTTAATTATGTTTTTATGATTAATGCAGAAAACTAGAACAATAGAATTATATCTGGCATTGCATTTTAATTAAGAAATTTTAAGTTTAAAAAATAGAAACCTTATTTTAAAAAATAATTATGCATTCTGTTTTTTAAACTAATTCCAGAAGTTGTCTAATAATTGCTATAACTATTATTAAATGATGAAGATAATTCTATGTATCTTGGTCAAATATCAACATCTAAGGAAGCTTGTTATATTTAATGCTTTATTACCATAACTTTTGAGTTATTAAGTAACTTTTGAATAGTATATTGATAAAAGACAGGATAAATGACATTTTTTTCTGTGTATTGGAGAATAAGAATGCTTCATCTAGTGGCTATTTTAGATATTGCAGTTAATGCAAATGTGTATTTTGATAATATAGTAGTATGTTTTCTATTCCATCTAATGAAATAGGTGAGTAATACTGATGTATTGATGAAAACTATTTGTTGAATTACACCACATCTTTTCATGCTATTAGGAAGAAAGAAAAAAGAAAAGAAAAAAGGAGAGAGGGAGGGAGGGAGGAAAGAAGGAAAGATTTTCCTGCAGTGAAATAATGTTAAAAATCAAGTATGTTAACTTCCACATTTTATCAGAATACTCAGAGGTAGGCTCTATACAATGTATGTTATAAACTAGTTATACTGGTAGGCATGAGCAGGCACTTTAAAATCTTTTTGTCCTAATAGAATTATGTTATGTGAATGAAAATGTAAACAACCAGAACTGTGAAATCTCAAAATTAATGGCAGTAGTATTGAGAGGAAAGAAGTGCACAAATCAATCTGTGCTCTTTTTGGCCATTCTGTTCCTCTGGATGAGGATTTTCTAAATATAGTGCTAACTTAGAAATTCAGTAGATTTGGCTCCACTTTTCTCCAGGAGAAGAGAAAGTAGAAAAAACCAAGATTTTCACCTGAATATGATTCTTTCTTAGAGGTACATTTAATTAAAAAGCCAGCTAGGAAGGATTTGCCTAGGATTCCTTTCTTGGAGGATTAATAGATATATATAAAAATGAAAGGTTGCAGATATTGGCAAATGATTATATAGCACTTTTAATACCGTACATTCTTTGGTCACTTGTAAATAAGCGCAACATCAT